CGGGCCGGGCCAGGGGGCGCCTAGCGCGGCTGCTGCTCGGCGCGGCGATGCAGTGAGGCGGGAGGAGCGGGCAGGCGTGTGCCGAGCGGGGGCCGCGGCCGAGCTGCGGAGATGTGACTCGGGCCGAGGGCCAGCGGGAGCATCGGCGCTGCGGGGCCGCGGGGACGGTGAGTGCGAGCCGAGCCCATGCGGTGGAGGACGCTGCGGGACCCCAGAAACTTTTCCCGCCGTAGACTTGGGAGGATGGGGGATCCGCCTCCTGCGTTTTGCTGAGCCCCCCCACCCCCCACCAAGAGCTAATCTGCTGGGGGAGATGTGGGATCCGGGTGAGAGAACCACGGTGCGGCGGGAGGGGAGCCGCAGAGGACAGGGCCGGGCGGGGAGGGAAGGGGCTGGGGACCTTTACCGGGGGAGGGGGACCGTACCCGGACCAGGTGGACATCTAAGTGTCTGAGGAGGGCCTGGCGGCGACCACAGGTAAAAAGCAGCTAGGAGCGCAAAGGAGTCTAGCCGTGCCCTAGGGACTCGTCGTGGCGAGGAGCCGTGGGCATGTCCCGGGGCCGCGTGGCCAGCCGGTGGGTGGCTGACCATGGACAGGGCAGACCGATTGGGGGTCCAAGGGCTGGACCTCGGGGGTGAGCAGCCGCACCTGCCGCAGGGGCTGGGGGCCAAGATCGCAGCCAGCGGAGGCTGCGCACTGCCCAGCAAGGGGGAGGGGGGACTGCGGGGGAAAAGAGGCCGAGCTGAGACCTGGGGCTGGGGGACAAATGGGGGGAGATAGGAGGGGACGGCTGCGTACAATGGCGCGGGGGTAGTGGCGTTTCCTTTCCAGAAGCGAGGCCTCGGGGAGAGACGGCCAGGCTGGGGATGAGGACTAGCCGCGTGCTGTGTTCCCTCTGCTTGAGGGACAAGGGCTCTCTGCCGCCCGAGGATACCACACATCCTGGGGTCCCTACCGCCTGGGTCGAAGGGAGCCTGCCTTGGCCGGGGGAAGCTGGTTAACCAGCTTGGGAGTTGGGGGGCGGGGACAGACCTTGGCCCAGAGGACGCCCCCGGCAGCGGGTTCGTTTCCCCTGTCCTTGCTCCGTCCAGGCTTAGCCAATTCCCGCCCCCGGCACCCGCCCCCGTCTCTTGTTCGCTAAGGGGGCGGCTCCTTGGAGCGCGGACAAAGGCCCCTGGAGCGTGGCGGGCAGCGGCGTCCCCGCCGGGGGCCCCAGCCCACGCGCCACATTGGCTGCCCTTCGGCGCCAGGATGGGGAGCACCTGAGCAAAGCCCAGGGAGCACTGAGGGGTCCCCACAGAGACAATAGAAGTGGGGGAGGGACTGTCACAAAAACCCCGGCACTTCAACCAAGGAATCCCAATTCAGAAGTTTCTTTGGTGGGGACTAGGGGTTTCAGAGTATACAGCCTGAGTTCAACTGCATGCAAATGACACGTAAATGAATGCAAATTGGCATCTGTTGGTTAGGAGCCCTCCTCCCGACCAGTTTTGCAGCTCGACTGTGGAGTGAACAGTTTCCTATCTGCTTCCTGTTCTAAGTCTGAAAAGGGGTCAGCTGAGTTGGGAAGGGAAGATGGGAGGAAGACAGCGTGGCCATTTAGGGCACAGGCAGCAAGTCATGCGGTTTTGTTGGGCAGATAAGCTCAAAATCTCTATCGGTTAATTTGTTATTTAAGCGAATGTGCCAGCCACACGGTGCTGGGGCACTATGTACAAAATGGGCAAGCCCCTGCTCTCAGGGGGCTGGGAAAGTGAATGAACAAACACTAAACAAGCAAATAAATAAACAGCAAATAGATATAACATCCAATTGGGATAAGGGCTGCCAGGGAAATAAAACAGGGTGATGTATAAGAAAGTGACAAGGGTGTTTGTAGGTGAGAAGAGTGGAACCCAGCAAGATGGGGGGCCTGTTAATGGGAGGAGATCTTAGGGAAAGACTGAACCAGGCAGGTGCAAAGGCTTGGAGGTGAGATTGAGCTTAGAGGAATTGAACAGAGGCCAGTGTGGCTGGAGTTTATAGGTAGGTTTGTGGGGTGGGGGTGGGAGGTTGGCAGGGACCAGCCAGATCATGATTTTTTGGGCCTTGGAAAGGAGTTTGGGGCTTATTCTGTTTGGGAGGGTTTTGGGTGGGAAGCCGCAGGATCTTACTTTTAAAAGTTCCCCTGACCCTGAAAAGGAGATGGAAAGTAGCTCCCCTTCCATTCTGCCTGTGGGGATAGCAAGGCACTGAGAACTTCCAAAGCGCCTGTGCAGACCAGTTTGAGCCAGGCCAGCCTTGTGAGTCAACTGGAGGAGTGGATCGGGTTTTAAAATCCACTCCCCACATTCAAGCGGTTCTTACCTACCCTAACCAGCCCCACCAGACCCCACAGCCCCATAATCACTTATGTACAGAGCTAACTGGGGGTTCCACTCTTAGTCACATTTTCTTGTCGGAATTACAGCTGAAAAAGAACCATCCACCATGGAACAGGGCAGCCAAGGGTACAATTTGCATTTAAATGATTGCTTTTATTTACAGAATTGGACTTGCTTTGCATATTCATGAATCAGGGAGCTTGAGTGTTTGCAACCCTGTTTACTAACCTATGACGGTTTTTTAATTCTAGAGCCCCCAAATAGGCCAGTCAGCATTGGGAAATGAAGATTATGAGATTGTGTAACTTGGAAAAGATATCAAAGGGTGAGATTTGTGGGTCTGGGAAAAAGCTTAATGTCAGGAAACCTTGTAACAGTTTAATCTCGTCTGAGCAGGAAATGCACAGGCGGCTCCAAGGGGAGTGGGTTGGGACAGAGTGTAATGCTGGGGTGCGTGGGGAGACTGGCTCCACAGCCCCATCCTGGTTCTCTGCCGGATGGGGGGGTCAGAATATGGGGTGCACTGGAAAGGCTTTGGGGTCAAGAGCTGGGAGATATGGGCTCTCCTCCCAGCTTGGCCTGTGAATTTCAGTAAGCCTCTGACCAAGTTGCCTGACCTCTCTGCCTTCATTGTCCCAACAGGACAATGTCTTTTTAATGTCCCAGCAGGTCTGTCGTTTTAACAAGCAGGTATCCAGTGCTTCTTTTGTGCCCAGCTGAGTCTTTTCGTGTGCGTTTCACACCAGCCTCCTGAAGGTGGTACTATCTATCAGTATCCCCATTTTACAGATGAGACTAAGGTTCAGAGAGGTTAAGTAAGGCCCAGTGTCGCATAGTTCTGTCTGGCTCCGCTCTTCTGGCTTGCTTCCCACTGAGGCCTCACTGGGAGTGTAAACTCTGTGCCAGATATTCATCCGGGTACTGAACTATTAATATATCCAGGGCTAGGAAAGCAACCCACCCCACCCCCACCCAGTTGCTCATTTATTCTTTCCCTTCCATATTTCGGTGCCTCTCCCCATCTGTAGAGAGGATGGGGTTAAGATGCCTCTGACCTGCCAGTCCCTGGGAGGGGGGTATATGGCTGAACTGGGAGGGGACCCAGGGTAAAAGATGAATGGCCTCCCTGGAGTCCTGCTGGAAGCACCCGAGGCAAGGCTGGTCAGAATGGTGTGTTCTGAGCTGTTTTGTACATTATTTCTCCTTTCCCGTGGTGCACGGGAAGGTAGGGATGCTGGTTCCCAAGAGAATGGCAGGTATCTGGTCTCCTGGTATCCTGGTTCAGACTCCCCAAGAGAGCCTCCCAGTTTCAGGGTACCCAGCCTGGCTTTGGGTTTACCAGCTGGGAAGGTAGGGATGCTGGTTCCCAAGAGAATGGCAGGTATCTGGTCTCCTGGTATCCTGGCTCAGACTCCCCAAGAGAGCCTCCCAGTTTCAGGGTACCCAGCCTGGCTTTGGGTTTACCAGCTTGAGTTCTACCTTCATAGTGAGGCTCCCACTTAGAGCACCTGCTGTGGGTAGCAGAAGCATTTAGGGGTCCCTAGAGCAGACTACCCCCAAAGGCATCTCCCCTTTATACCACCTCTGGGACTTCTCTGCTTGGTGTGTGATGGGGAAAGCTGGACACCATTGGTGGACAGACACCTGGAAGAACCCCCTCCCTTCCAACACCATCTCCATGGCAACCGTCCCTTCTAGAAAATCAGTTCCAGAAGGGTTCATCAGCTCAGACAAAGGAGCATTTGCCAATATTTTTTACTTATTTAACAGCTGCTTTATGTAAGTGCTTACCCCATGTTAACTATTGTCCTAAACCTTAAATATCATTTTAATCCTCACCACAATCCCACGTGATGGGCACTATTATCACCCCCATTTTGCAGATGAAGAAACTGAGGCAAGAAAGTTTGTCAGCTGTCTAGAGTAACAGGGTGCTAGCCAGTGGCACAGCAGCAGGATTTAGAGCCGGGAGGTCTGACTGTGAAGTTCATGCAAGCTTGGCAAGGAGCAGGACTGGGGGAACCTTCTTTCAGTTCTGCAGGCCCCGGTGTGCCGCTCCTGCATCTGCCAAAGGCTTCCAGCCCTCTGCGGAGTGTGTGTGTGCACATGCATGTGTGTGATGCAGTCCATTTAAGAGTATCTGAGTCACATTTCTGGGAGCCTGGCTGGCAGCAAAGGTAATTAGTATGTGAGCCGAGTCTTGCATAGTTGTTCACATTTATTCATTACTCCTTTTGAGGAGCTGCCTGCCTGCATCCCACGGGTTTGTTGCCATATATTCATCCCGTCCCAATCAGCCTAGTCCCAATCAGCCTGCCTCAAGGCTGACTCGAAACCTCTAATCTAGTATTGTTCAGTTTGGAGATCCTGGAGAGCTGCCCAGCTTTTTGGGGTGGAAGCACCAGGTGGCTAATTTTGCAGGATGGGGCCTTACCTTGCAGGGAGCACAGCAGAACAGAGGTGGTGAGATGAAAGGAGCCAGAGCTGTCGTCCTGGCACCCCTTGTTCATCCAGCCTCAGTGTGCCCCAGCATTACCTGCAGGGTTTGTGGGAACACAGGTGGCTGAACCCACCCGCTGAGATTCTGCACTTCTAACAAGCTCCCAGGCAACGCTGCTGTTGCCAGTCCAGGGATCAAACGTCGACTTAAACCTCTCAGACCCTCAGTTTCCTCTTCTGTAAATGGAAATGAGAACACCTGCCTTTCTGGGGTTATGTGAGGTTTGGAGACTGTATTTATCAATTCATTCATTTAGCAACTGGATCGTGAGCCCTGCCCATGTGCCAGGCACTGGGGAATTGGTGCAGAACAAGACAGACAAGGCCCTGGGCTTGGGGGATGGGAGAACAGACCAAAAGAGTAATAAAATAAAATAATTGAAAATTGTGGCACATGCTACAAAGACAGTGATAAAGTACTGGCGGAAAGCATAGCAAGGTGGGAAGAACCTAATTTTGGTGACTGGCCAGAAAACTGCTCATCAGTGACACTTCTAGAGCCCAGGAACAATAGTACAGTTGTTTGCCTCCTGGCTCTACCTCCTTCTAGCTGTGTGACCTTGGACAAGCCGGCTGATCTCCCTGTGCCACAGTTCAATCTCCTATAAAATGGAGACAGGAATAGTACTTACCTCGTATGGTTGTTATGCAGATTATCGTACATTAATATGTGTGAAGTGCATAGAAGAGCGCCTGGAACATAGTAAGCACTGTAAGAGTTAATAGTTATTGTCGTCATCACTGTGGCAGAAATAGAAAACTCTGCAGGGCAGTTCTGAATCCCCCAGAAATCCTAGATGAGCCGACCTCACTTCAGTCCAAGACAGGGTATAACCTCCCCCTGCCCCAACCATCCTGAATATTGTTCTGTGGAATGGGGTGGCGTCTTTAGCAATGATAATGACCCACTTGAGACAGCTAGATGCCTGCTAGAGCCCCTGGCTGCCAACAGTTGTATGTACATGCTTAATGTTAGGTAGGGAGGACTTTCTAGAAGAAGGGGGCCACAAGATGTAGGAGGAGTATTAGAAGTTCTTTGTTGGTAAGTGACAGAAACCCAGCTCAAACTGGCTTAATCCAAAAAAAGGAAAGTTAACTGGCTGCTGGAACTGTACAGACCAGAGTTTGCTTCAGGCATAGATGAATCCAGCCACTCAATGTATTAGGACTCTGGTCCATCACTCAGCTGTTTCCTCTGGGTCAGCTTTACCCTCTGACAGGTCCTCTCCCTGTGGCAAATACTCCCTTCTGTAGCTTCAGGCCCCTCCCTATCCTTCCAGCTTATCAACCCCGGCAGGAAGAAAAGACCTCTTTCCAGTTAATTCTAGCAAAAATCCTAGGGCTGAATCTCAGATCGGGTTCAGGCCATGTGCCTGTGCATGAACCAAGCACTACATCCAAAGGGTACGCAAATGCTCTGAGTGGCCAGGCCTGGGTCAGATGCCCTGGCTGTGAGCTAGGGCTCAAGGTAGCTCTCAAAAGGAAAATCAGGAGCTCCTTCCAGAAATGGGAGAACTGGAAGCTGGGCAACAAAAACAACAGCTGTGCAGGAAAGAATAGAGGTTCCACCCTCTGAAATGAACGCAGAAAGCAAGAGTGTAGCCATTTCTGCATCGAAAGGTGTCCTAGAGACCTGGACCAGGGCTGCGAGAAGTCTGCCCAGCTTCAGAAGCTTGGTCGCCGTCGTGGTGTTTTCCTCATCCTCGTGGTTTCCTGTTGTGGTTGGAAGGCCAAGCAGGATGGAGGTGGAGAAACCAAGTCCGCATTTGCAGCCAGGCCTGGAAAGAGGAGATCCCCCTAAGAGAGTGAGCAGAGACAGCTCAAAAGGCCGAGTGCTTGCAGGGAAGGGGCGAGGCATGCGGGCCTGAGGCTGAGTGGCCTGGCTGGTTTCCTGGCGTCTTCCCCGTCCCTCTGTCTTTAAGTGTCTAAGCCAGGTTTTCTCAGCCTTGGCACTGTTGACCTTTTAGGCTGGATAATTCCCTGTGGTGGGGACTGTCCTGTGCATATTAGGATATTTAGCAGCACCCCAGTCTCTATCTGCTCGATGCCAATTGCACCCCCTCCACAGTTGTGGCAACCAAAATTGTCTCTAGACATTGTCAAATGTCCCCTGGGAGTCCAAATTGTCCCTAGTTGAGAACCACTGGCTGAGGGTACGTGGATGGGAGGCGCTGGGGGAGGGGTGGTGGGCAAGACTCCAGAAGCGTTTTCCCACCTGTCATCCTCCCAGCCAACCTGGGGGTGGTTTGTCCACATAGGGTGTTTCTTGCTGAGACCTGCTGAGAAGTCTCTTAATCATGGTTGCCATTGATGAGCTGCTTGAGGGAAATCCACTCCAGGGCCCTTCCACCATGTCAGGGACTGATGGCATTTTGTTCTGACACATCCAGTTCTTAAATTTTGATTCCCAACTTGCTTCCAGGACTTCAGGATAAGTGGTTCTGTCCAGGATGATGTTTTTTCCAAATGGTGGTATATTAGGATATGTCCGCTGGGTATGCAGCATGAGTTATACCAATGAGCAATTTAAAAATTTCAAGAGCTAAGTATTTTAATGTGTTAGGTTTTCTTTTAAGTGGGTTAATGTAAAGGACTCGGTGACTAGTTCAGTAAATACCTGTACAGTGGTGTGTGCTCAAAGCAGAAATAGCTGCAGTGGCACTCCAGTGACTGACATGACAGGGTCACAGACAGCACTGGACTGCAGGCCAGTCGTCAATGTCTGGGGTGCATCCTCACCCCTAAATTGGCCTGAGCAGGATGCTGGGGCGTTTGTTTAAGGAGCATCTCTTGCCAGATGCCTTCTGTTCCAAGCCTGCCTTCTCATCTGTAGACAAAGGAGATGATCCCTAAACTCCAGGCACCTTCTCCTTCAGCAGCATCAATAATTTACACCAGTCAATGGCCCCCACGCCAGTCGATGACCTCACACCTGTCAGTGACCTCACAGCCAGGGCAGGATCTGAGATGCTCACCGGATCTCCGTAAAGGAGTGGAGAGAGAGGTGGTCAATACCATATTTACTTAAGGAAGCCCCAGGGACACACTGGAGCGGCAAGGGGGGTGACTGGTTACAACCCCACACATGGGCCAAGCTAAGGCAGTAGGTCTGGCTTGAGATGTTCAGAAATGAGCCTCAAGCACCGCTGTGCAGGCTGTGGCAGTGGGACAGAGGACAGTGTGATGAATAAGTTTCTCGTTCATGCAGTAGTTACTGAGTGTCTGTTTTGTGCCAGGCACTGTATGCTAGTGCTTGAATCTACAGCAGAGGGTCTCATCTGGGCAATCTCGCTCTCCCAGGGGACATTTGTCAGTGTGTACAGACATTCTGGATTGATAGAACTGGGAGAGGGGATGTGCTATGGACATCCATTGGGTAGAGGCCAGGGATACTGCTAAACATCTTGCAATGCACAGGACAGTCCCCCACAACAAAGAATGATCCAGCCCACATGTCAATCGTGCCAAGGTTGAGGAGCCTGGTCTACTGATGAACAAGAGAAACAGTGTCCCTGCCCTCCCACACCTTGTGGTGGAGAAAGACAGGAAGGGAGGAGAGGAGGAAGGGGAGGAAGAAACAAAGTAAACAGGCAGAAAACGACAGACGTGATTAGAGTTAAGAAAGATGCAGACCAGACGAGAGGCTGGTGGAGAAGAATGGGGTGTGACCTTGGCCAAGGTTTGAGCTGATGGCATCAGAACTGAGCCCAATGGGGGAGGAGCAGCTTTCCTTTCAAGGATGGGGAATGTCCAAGCAGAGGGAGCCGGAGGGGCAGGAGGAGACTCGCCTGGGGACAAGAGATAGCAGCAGGGTTCTCCCTGCCGCCTCCCAGGGAGAGAGGGACGGGAGGCGTGGAATTTGGATGGTGGCCTCAGGAGATGTTTTGAAGGAGGAGTGTGGGATGTGGGAGGAAGACAGCTCCTTTTGGATGTACCAAGTTTGAAATGCTAGGCTTCTGAGAGGGGATGCTTCTAGGTGCCAGGCTATATGACCTTGGGCAAGTGTGTCACCTGTAAAATGGAGGTCATAAATAGGACCTGCCTCACAGGGCATTGTGAGGACTGGGTGTGTTTAGTTCCTGGCCTAGAGCGAGTTGCCAGTAAATGTCAGCTGTCAGCCTGAGAGGTTGACACCAGGCGATGCGTGCCATTCTCCCAGCACAGTGCTTGGCCCGCGGCTGTCTTTTTTAAGTTTCATTTTATTCCCTTATTTTTGAAGAGGTCAGACTTGGGGTGGAGTATTAAATTCAAAGAATATGAAAGGGTATACAGAGAAAGTGAGTCTCCCTCCCACCATGTCCTCCACCACTAGTGATGGTGACTCACGGTCGTTCACTGTGCCTGGCCAGGGGTGCAGGTAAGGAGCCGAAATCCCCCCACCTGGAGAAAGGGGTGCCTTTCCCTGAAGTGGGCTGGCAGGTTTGAAGTGAGTGTGGTCTTCTTCAAGAAGTCAGGAGAGTGGGGATCTTACAATGTATCGATCTTTCTTTCTTCTTCCCCGCCACCCCTTGACTTTTCTAGAATGTTCATGGTGTCAGAGAGAAAGATGAGAACCCGCCAGGTGTTCGCCTTCCTCCTGCTCTACGTGATTGCCTCCGTGGCCTCTGAAAACTCCAGCACGTCCCGGGGCTGTGGGCTGGACCTGCTCCCTCAGTACGTGTCCCTGTGCGACCTGGACGCCATCTGGGGCATCGTGGTGGAGGCCGTGGCTGGGGCGGGCGCCCTGATCACGCTGCTCCTGATGCTCATCCTCCTGGTGCGGCTGCCGTTCATCAAGGACAAGGAGAAGAAGAGGCCTGTGTGCCTCCACTTCCTCTTCCTCCTGGGGACCCTGGGCATCTTCGGGCTAACATTTGCCTTCATCATCCAGAAGGATGAGACTATCTGCTCAGTGCGCCGTTTCCTCTGGGGTGTCCTCTTCGCTCTCTGCTTCTCCTGCCTGCTGAGCCAGGCATGGCGCGTGCGCAGGCTGGTGCGTCATGGCACGAGCCCGGCAGGCTGGCAGCTGGTGGGCCTGGCTCTGTGCCTGATGCTGGTGCAGGTCATCATCAACATCGAGTGGCTGGTGCTGACACTGCTGCGTGACGCGAGGCCGTCCTGCGCCTACGAGCCCATGGACTTTGTAATGGCACTCATCTATGACATGGTACTGCTGCTGATGACCCTGGGGCTGGCCCTCTTCACACTGTGCGGCAAGTTCAAGAGATGGAAGCTGAACGGGGCATTCATCCTGATCACGTCCTTCCTCTCTGTGCTCATCTGGGTGGCCTGGATGACCATGTACCTCTTCGGCAACACCAAGCTGAAGATGAAAAACTGGAATGACCCCACCTTGGCCATTGCACTGGTTGCCAGCGGCTGGATCTTCGTCATCTTCCACGCCATCCCTGAAATCCACTGCATGCTTCTCCCAGCCCTGCAGGAAAACACGCCCAACTATTTCGACACGTCACAGCCGAGGATGCGGGAGACAGCATTTGAGGAAGACATGCACCTGCCACGGACCTACATGGAGAACAAAGCCTTCTCGATGGATGAACACAACGCGGGTAAAGTGATCGTCACCCTGCTGGGTTAGGCCCTGGGGCATGTGTCCTAAAAGGACTCTCTTCTTTCTCATCAGTGGGGATGGGTGGTCCCAGTCATGGGGGCAGTCCATGCAGATGAGTCTACAAACATTGGTCCCTGTGCTGAAACTGGCCCAGAGATGAATTTTTATTTAGCTTTTTTTTCCCTACCAATTGCCACCTAATTTATTATAAAAATCTAGCTTTCTGGCTTCTTTTGAAAAGTTGGATCCGGCAAGCTGGGCCACTGGGCTGCAGTTGCCTGGAATTGACTTGAGCCAGTGTGTTCCACAGGGCCCTGCCTCTCAGCCCTCACCAAGTTGGGGCTGCCCTTAATTTATTTGTCTTTTGGTGGTTGGCTGGTATGGGGATCCAAACCCCTGACTGTGGTTTTACAAGGCCACACTCTAACCAGCTGAGCTAACTGGCCAGGCTTTGGCTGCCTTTTAGATGGTGTATTAGTCTGTTTTCTGTTGTTTCCAACAAAATAGTTGAAACTGGGTAATTTATAGGAAAACGAAATTATTTCTTATGGTTTTGGAGGCTAAGTCCAAAGTCCAGGGAACACATCCAGTGAGCGGCTTCTTGTGGGTGGTGACTCTACAGTGAGGCGAGGTGTTACAGGGCGAGAATGGGCTGAGCTCACCTGCTCACTTGCTCTCCTGTTAAAGCCGTCATAACCGTGCTCATGACCACCCATTAAACCATCAATGTATTAATCCATTACAAAGATACACTCCTCACAATCTAATCACCTCTTAAAGGCCCCACCTTTCAATGACCATAATAGGATTCCCACCCTCTTAACATTGTTACTATGTAGACTAAGCTTCCAATGAGTTTTGGGGGGACATTCAACCCACAGCAGATTGGGATCCACTTTTCTGTTCACCACACTCTCCACCACTCCCTATTGCTCACTACCAATCTGCTGTAACATACTAACATTAATTCCCTGGCTTCCCCAAAGTGTTTGAGTTTGCAGCCCAAGGGCTAGATGGTTGGAGGAAACCAGGAGGGGCACTGCTTCTATCCCCTCCCCTTCCTCAGTCACCAGGAGTACATGAATTTGGGCCCTGAAGGCAGATGTCGAGGTTCAGATCCTGTCTCTGCCACTTTCTAGTTTTGTGGCTTTGAGCAAATCACACTACCTCTCTGAACCACAGTTTTTCTCATCTGTGAAATAAAACGAATAGAGAACGTACCTCACAAGGGAGAGGGCAGGGAGAATGAGACCCAGAAGGCAGAAACACCAGCACAAGTGCATTAATGAGCTGGTTACTGCTGTGGGCTACAGGGGCTCAGTCCTGCTGGGAACCCTCTGAGGACACCTGTAGAATGAGCCTCAGAATTGGCCCTGGAAGGACAAGAAGGTGGGGCAACTCTTGTCTCCCACCGTCCTTAACATCCCCCATAACTCTAGTGAATGGGCTGAACGAGTTCCATTGGGTTCCAAGGCAGAAAGACAGATTTGGCAGCCACTTGAGATGGACATTGTCTGGGTACCCAGCACTGTCTGTCACTGCAGCCACGGAATTCAGAGGTGAGGTCATAATAGGACCTGCCTAGGGGGTGTGGTACAGGCACCAAGCACCCCTGCTATAGATGTTTGAGAAGTGTCTCTTAGGATCATTACTTGAAAGGAGTTGGCTAGGCTCCCAGCACTTGAGATTAAATAAAATTGTCTTTGCTCAATTATCAGAAAATGCATCAGGGGCTAAAACAATAATAATAACAACTAGTAGTAGCAGTAGCAGTGGTAGTAATTATCACCTAGTACAGTTGTCATTTGTCGAGCACTAGCTACATGCCAAGCACTATTCTTTTTGTGTGTGTGTGACTGGCTGCACCAGCTAAGCCAGTGAGCGCACCAGCCATCCCTATATAGGATCCAAACCCACGGCGGGAGCACTGCTGCGCTCCCAGCGCCGCACTCTCCCGAGTGCGCCACGGGGTCGGCCCCCAAGCACTATTCTAGATCTTTAACCTGCACTGTCTCATTAGTCCTCACCACCACCTGATGAGATAGGCCCTAGTATTATCCCCATCTTATAAATGAATAGATGGAGGCTCTAAGAAGTTAAGTGACTTGTCCAAGGACACACGGTTGGGAGGTGTCATTTCTGTCATGATTCCCTCTTTAAGGACATTCAGTCAGGTGCCCACCCAGCACATGGGTCGTGCTCAGCAGCTGGCTTGTCGGGCTGAGTGCCGAGGCCCAGAGTGCGGCCTATCCATCTCCTGCCGGCAGGGGACATGCACCAAGCCATCACATCCTCCAAGGCCACCCACATCCCTCCCTCCCACCTGGATCTACCCAGCCTCCTCCACACCCCCACAGGAGGAAAGGCCAGTGCCCAGCTCTGGTGAGGGCTAGAAGTCCCGGTGTGGCCTTTATCAGAGCTGCTCCCTTCTTACCAGAAAGTTCCAGGCCAGCAAGCCTGTGTTTGTTGAGAGATTTGGCAGGGATGGCAGCTTCGACCGAGCTGGGGGGCTGGCTCCCTGGGAGGTCAGAAGAAGATGCAGTCAGGACAGAGGTCACCGATGGAAGCACAAAGGGCCTGTCAGGGGACATGGTGAGCAGAGGCCAGGAGTCTGGCTAGTTCCTGGGTCATGATGAAGCCTCCTCTTCACTGGTTCCTCCTGGAAAGGATCCTATTTATGAGACCCAGGGACTCCCCTTTGGCCTCAAATGTAGTGGTAACTCCTGAAATGGATGCAAACTTTCATACTTCCATGTTTTCCTGGAGAATTGGTCTACCGCTTTGTCAGATTCTCAAAGCCATCTGTGACCTGCAAAAGGTTAACAACCAGTGTTGTTGAAAATGATGGTTTTATTTCCTTACTGTAAAACTGGGATGTGAGAACTTCCCAAGTATTAGGGTCTTTAAAAGTAAGGATAGCTAACCTTTATTAGATGCTTACCATGGACCAGGTACTGTTCTGAGCATTTTAGGGGCTGATTTCATTTAAGTCCTATAATAACACCATGAGGTCTGTTTTGCAGATAGGAAACTGAGGCACAGAGGGGCTAAGTGACTTGCCCAAGAGGCGGAGCCAGGATTTGAACCCAAGCAGGTTGGTTCCAGAACCCAAACACTTGACCACTCTGCCTTGGAATTACCATCCCCTTCTTAAATCACTTTAGTGTCCCTCATCTCACTGGTATGTCAGGACAACTCTGTGCATTGGGAAGGATGAGGATTATCAGACCCATTTTACAGAGCAGGAAACCGAGGCCCGGGGATGTCAGGCAACTTGTTGAAGTTCACAGTGTAAGCACACAGTAGTGCCCAGAAGGGGAAAATTGGTTTTCTGAATCCCATTACATCTACCTTTTCTTGTAAAAATGCAGCCAGTACTTCATATCAACATAAGATCCGGAGATGGAAGGGACCTGGGACCCAGGTTGGACCGAGTATCAGGGCTGGCATGGGGTGATGAGGGGTCTGAGGGGTGCCATCCCCCCGTCTGTTTCACACTTTGTCATGCCATGTTTTGTTTCTTTTCCCAAACAAAAATAAATATTATTCCCTTCTGATGATAAAGGAGCAACAATAATCATGTAAAATCAGCAAAGAATCATATAGGTTCAGCAAGTAAAAATAATAAAATTTGTTCAAAATGCCATTGCCCAAAGGCAAGTACTGCTGACTGGTTTGCTCCTGTCTTGCCAGACATCTCTTAGTACACACACGGTCTCTCACCCACACACACACACAGGACAATACAACAGTGGTTCTTAACCTGGCTGTACATTCGAATCACCTGGGCCGCTTATAAATATTACCAAGGCCTGCCCACCTCAGTCTGATTAAGTAGGTCTGAGTTTGGGATTAGGTTTTTTTTAAGCTTTCCAAGCAATTCTAAGATGTAACTAGGTGGAAACCACTGGTCTAGGGCTGGCTGGTTAGCTCAGTTGTTTAGAACTCAGTGCTGATAACACCAAGGTCAAGAGTTCAGATGCCCAAACAGGCCAGCCAGCCAAAAAGAAAGAAAGAAACCAGCAGTCTAAGGGGTGTTCTTCAGCGTGCTTGCTTAAATCAGGTATGGAGGCCTTTTCAGGTAGGCAACCGCAGAGCTACAGTATCTTTTTAATGATGCAGGGCTTTCCATCAGGCACCAGAATTTATTTTTCTGATCTTCAGCTGGTGGTTATTCTATGTGCTTCCAGCTTTCCATGATAAACAGTGCTGCAGTGAACATTGTTATCTACTCATCTGTGTGCCTTTGATGAATTAACTCTTTGCAAAAAAATTCCTAGGTATGGGTTAAAGAGTCTGCACTTTAAATTTTGATACATGCTGCCAGATGGCGCAGCAGAAAGGTAGACTAATTTTCTGTTTCCATTCCACCCCCATAATTGCACATGGCCCTCATTTCCCCACCTCTTAATAGCTCTCTTTTGAATCATCCCAAATGTGTGTCCACCAAAATTCACATGGGATCTGGCAGAGCAGGCTTCAGGCAAAGCCAGTCCTCAGACAGCTCACATAGAGAGGCTAAGCTGGAGTCCTGGCTAGGATGGCCTTTGTTCTAGAAACCCTTGCTTTGCTGGCTGCAGACTGTCTGGGCACGCTCCCTTGCCACAGTGGGAACAGCTGTTGGCATCTTTGGTGCTGACCTCAGTCAGCTTGTATTTTAGGAGCCAGGTTCCATAAGGGACATTACCCTTGAGTCCTTGGGTCTCATAGAATAGCCAGTGTCCAAGAACTTTGGTTGGCCCTATGTCTCTTGCCTTTTAACCTTTCTGCCAGCCATTTGGGCTCTCTTCTCTTGAGAGTCTGCACCTAACATGCTCATAAGATGGGAAGGGCATTCTTCAGACTCTGCAAAGCCCCAACAGCCTCTGCCCCCATCTCTCCTTCCCCCGAGTGAGACCCCAGATATGCGACTTCACCAGCCTGCTGCTTATTAATAAGTATCATCAAGGCATGAGGTATGTGAGAAAGATTAAAACACACTGAGGGATGTAGCACCTTGGATCACATCTTGGAAAGTGTTAACAAGGCACATTAAATATTCACCTTTGAAAGGAGCAAGAAAGAAAAGTGTTCCTTCTTCTGTTAGGAGCTTTGGGCTCTGAGATCTTATTAGGGCCAAGGGCTATTTAAACTGACCCTTTTATTCTTGTGGGAAGTCCCTGAGTTGGCTTTGGAGCAGGGCCAACCTGGCCTCATTTGCAGGGTCTACACAAGAAAAGGTTGGCATTCAACCTATGAGCTTTGATTCCTATGGGGACCCCCTTATGGGTGAGCCCTCCTTGGCTTTCAGATCCGGCCCAGGTCGGGGTTGGGTGTTAGTCGGGCTTCTTGAAGTTCATTGCAAGTAATAAAAAATCCAATCTGAATAAGCTGAAGTATTAAAACAAACTAATGTACTGGGGAGCAGACTTCAGGAATGGTTAGATTCAGGGGACTCAAGTGATGACAAGATTTGGCAAGTCTCCACCTCTTGGCTCTGTTAGAGTCATGGGTAGCCCACAGCTCCAGGCTTGCGCGGTCCCAGTGGAAAAGAGGAACATTTCCCAGAATGCCTGAGCAAAAATCTCAGAGATAGCACTAATTGGCGCTGGCCAGGCCTAAATCGCATGCCCACCGCTGAGGCCAGGGGGGAAGGCAGCAGTAGCCAACACTCAGGGGTCTAGAATGTGGGAGGAATGTTTACCAGAGGAGAACCACAAGTAGCCACTGCAGAGAGGGACCCTTGGGCTAAGGCACCCTACAGATGGGCGGTAGAGTGGAGCCTTTGTTTCTTTGAGGAGAATGTGTTTGGGGCTGGCCGGTTGGCTTAGTTGGTTAGAGCATGGTGTTATAACACCAAGGTCAAGGGTTCGGATCCCCCTACTGGCCAGCTGCCAGGAAAAAAATGAGAATGTGTTTGGAGGCAGATTCCCTGGCCACACCTGCTGGGACTCTACATTACAAGAAAGCTGTGGTGTTTGGTCTTCCCTCTCCTTGATCAGGTAGGCTCAAAATTAAGAATAGTAAACGTCCATGGACTGTCTCCCACTTGCCCTGTGCTGGTTCCTGACGCCCCATTGCTACTTCCCAGAAAGTGCAACTTTTGCTCAGTGCCATGCCTAATGTGCTGCTTGAAGGCTTGGAGATGCCAAAGCAAACAGGGGTCTTCATGTGCGTGTCTTGGAACATGCCTTCACCACCCTGCCTCAGTTTCTTCAGTCCAGACTGGGCTGAGCTGCCCCTAATGTCACTTTTCAAGTTGCTTCCAAGTAACTAAGTGTGGTGGTTAAAAACATAGTATCCAGAGTGGTATAGTGTGACAATTAAGAACAGAGATTCTCTGCTGGGGTTCGAAAGCTGGTTCTGCCCCTTACCAGCTGTGCAACCTTGGGCAGGTTACTTAACTTCTTTGTGCACCATGTAAAGTGGAAATAATAAAAGTACCTATCATACTATGAAATTTTTTTTTTTTTCCTTTTTGAGACCGGCCGCACCGCGCTCAGCCAGTGAGCGCTATGAGCGCACCGGTCATCTCTATAGGATCCGAACCCACAGCGGGAGCGCTGCTGCGCTCCCAGCGCCGCACTCTCCCGAGTGCGCCACGGGCTCGGCCCCATACTATGAAAATTTTAAATGAGTTAATATATGTAAAGTCCTTTTCATAGTACCTGGCTTCTGGTCAGCATGCTGTGAAGGTTAAACTAAGGTAATTTTAATCCCTGCCTCATGAATTAAACAAACAAACAAACACCAAGCTCTTTTGCTGCTTTTTAACCAGAAAAGTGCCTCCCTTCAGGGGAGACTTTTAAGTGAGGTTTTTCTTAGCAGAGCAAGGTAAGTACTTTCAGTGAGGATTAAGATGTGATCTTTGAGAAGACTTTCGTTTTGCTATTTTTGATAATCCTTCTACTGTCTCTTATTTTTTAAATAAGCCATTCTTAGAGCAGTTTTAAGTTTACAAAAATATTGAGCAAGAAGTTCAGGGAGTTCCTATATGCCATCTCCCCCAACAAAAACACAGTTTCTCCTGTTAGTGATAACTTGCATTAGTTTTATGTTTATTACAGTTGAGGAATCAAAATTGATACAGTATTAGCCAAAGTCCATATTTTAATTAGAGTTCATTCTTTGAATCATATAGTTCTATGGGTTTTGACAAATGCATCATGACATGTATCCATCATACAGCATCACACAGTGTAGTTTCACCGTCATGCAAAGGCCCTGTGCTCCCCAAATTCATCCTCCCTGCCCCAAACCCTGGCGGCCACTAATCTTTTTCTGTCTCTATAGTTTGGCTTTACCAGAATATTCTATGTTGCTTTTACAGACTGGCTTCTTTCACTTAGCAATATGCATTTAAGGTTCCTCCATGTCTTTGTGTTGACTGGTTTTTTCTTTACAAAAAAAAGGGAATTTAAATCTCTAAAAATTCAGCAAGTAAGAAACATGTTTACCCACCTTGCGGGAGTAAAAGGTGTGGACCTATTTTACCATCTTTGCTTCATATTTTCCTTTTATTCCTGTCTAGAAATAACCCTACATGTCTGGTTAGAGTCCCTCTGGTCTCTCCCTGGTCAGTTTCTGATGAAGACAAGCTCTGTTGTGGACTGGATACCCTTGTTCTTAGGGGTTTTCATGGGTGTATCCAGAAACAGCGAACAGTTTTGAATGGTTTGATGTTGGACTTTATATAACGGCATTCTGGGGGTGGCCAGTTAGCTCAGTGGGTTAGAGCACAGCCTTATCACATTAAGGTCATGGGTTTGGATCGCCATATTGGCCAACCACCAAAAAAAAGGGGGGGGGATGGCATTCTGAAGTGAGAGGGTCTTTTGTCACAGGAGACCTCAGGGATGCAGAGGCACATGTCACCCATGGCCTGCAGGGGCTGCATGGGAGAAGAGCACGGGACTGAGGGAGGGTTGAGACTCAACCCTGGGCCCCCTGCCCCTGAGAGCGACCTGCACCCTGGACTCTACAAACTTCCCAACCCCACTGAGACGGGTCAGGCTCCTAGAGAGCCTGAGAACAAAGCCCCTTTGTGACTTTTGTTTTGAATCAGGCTTATGACGAAGGGGAAAAGGGATAGGGGTGGGTGGAGGTGCCCGGATGGAGCGTTTTTGATGTAGGGAAAGAAAACAGAATTGTGTCTTTTTTTGGGTGGTGGTGTATTATCAATCCCTCCTTTCCCCAGCTCTCCGAACAGCAGGATATCCCAACGGCAGCTTGGGAAAGAGACCCAGCGGCAGCTTGGGAAAAAGATCCAGCGACAGCCTGGGCAAAAGGTCCAGCGGCAGCTTGGGAAAGAGGCCCAGTGCTCCGTTCAGAAGCAACGTGTATCAGCCAACTGAGATGGCCGTTGTGCTCAATGGCGGGACTGTAAGTATCAAAGTGTGATGTTTTGGCAGGAAGCCTAAGAACGAACAGTGTTGGGGGGCAGCTTCAATGGGGACGCTGCTCTGTGGAGACTGCATATGTGGCCTGCAAAAACAGCAGCTCAGGTCGACATCCCTTGTAGCTAGAATGCATGCAGAGCTTCCATGTCTCTTTTTGCCTGCTCTACCCGCCTTCTCCATGCACAGAAAATCCACCTATTCTTAGTTAACCATCTGTGGACTCGTTTGAAAGAGTCCGTCTTTCTTGGGGCTCTTGCGCCCAGTAAATTCTTTGGCTTTCATTATACAGTGTCCCAATCCTCTCCCTGGGAGGTGGTGTTTTGGAAAAGCCCAGAATGATGAAGCAGATTTTGCTCACATCGACCTAGTTTAATTTCCCCATCCACCCTCTATCTTTGTGCCCCAGCTGGGCACCAGGTTCCCCCACCCCCATTCCCTAAGAGATGTCTTGAGAAATGGAAGCAATTACCATTTCTCTCCCTCAAGCACGAAAGTAGGTTTACTGTCTGGTGCCAAACAGACCTTCAGCAGAATTGTCATTGTTTACGTTTTGCCTCTGTGGAATGACATCATTTTGCTTCTCCAGCAATCCAAAGACATACTCTCATTCCCACATTTAATTTCCAAACATAACTACATGCTTCTTTCAGGAGCAACACATGAGCCAGTTTACATGCGTAAATTGGATTTCCATTTTTTCTATCATGTTCCAATCCCATAGCTCAACCTATTTTTTTTTTTAACATACATCAGGGATGGTCTGTGATCTCTAAAGGGAACTTAAGTTTTCCTGGCCTTTGAATGGTATGGTATGCTGTGCTAGGCATTGGTTTGTATTGGTTTGGAACAGGCTCAAAGGCAAATAGAATCACAGATTTGCATTCTTAAAACCCCCTGCCATCCACTGGGCTGTTTTATTGTCCGATGCCAAGAAAAGCCTGACTCACAAGCATAATAATAATCAATATGGTTAGAAAAGGCCCCATCACAGGCCGGCCCGGTGGCGCACTGCTACAGTGCACCGCTTAAGAGCGCGGTGGCGCTCCCGCCGAGGGTTCAGATCCCACATACAGACCGGTTCCCGCTCACTGGCTGAGCGAGGTGCGGGCGCAACACCGAGGGTTGCGATCCCGTTGCCGGTCCCGGTCCGGTACGGGCGCGACACTGAGGGTTGCGATCCGTTGCCGGACACGAAAAAAAAGACAAAAAAAAAAAAAGAAAGAAAGAAAAGGCCCCATCAGTCACTCTTGAGCCCCCCTGGTTCCTTCGAGGCCAGTGTGAGTAACAACACCCAGGACTTAGAAAGTGAATGAGTTTCTGGGATAAGGAAACTTACAGAAAAAGCAGGATGGCCTTCCCAAGTACTGGAGCACAGTGGTTGCTGCTTTTCTTGGGAATTACTCAGCCTGTTTAGGTAAAAGCAAAGGAAACTTATCTTTGGCACATTGTTAATGAATCATTTTCTAATGTTTACTTTGCAAAGTACAGAGTTCTTAGTGTGTTATCCTTATGTGTTATTCCAGATCCCAACTGCTCCGCCAAGTCACACTGGAAGACACCACTGGTGAAAGACTTTTAATTTCCAGAGAATAAGAATTTCTTACCGATTTTATTCCCTGGCTATGTCTTTCTTGAGGGAGAAATCGGTAATAGTAGCTGAACAAGGCCGCCTCACAGCCAGGAGATTTGGAAATCCTAGCCAAGGGGATTTCATGTAAATGTGAACACTGATGAACTGAAAAGCTAACCCTGACTGCCCTCCCCTCCCCTGCCACACACACGCAAACACGTAATACAAAACCAACCTCGATTCCCGCAAACTAAAGCAAAGCTAATTGCAAATAGTATTAGGCTCATTGGAAAATGTGGCTGGGAAGACTGTTTCATCTTCTGGGGGTAGAATGGAACCAAATTCACAGCTGCTGGGCCAGGCTGTTGTTGGTTGGATACAGAGGACCCCCACCATGTTGCCCCTCCCCAGGAAGTGCTGGACCCCAGGTTGCCTCTTGGAGATGACCATTTCGTTGAGGAGGACAAATGGGGACTTCCCACCAGCTTGGCTGGTCACTTTCATATTTCACAGGGGTCAGGAGAGCTGAGGAGGTTGCAGGTATGATTCTAAGGCAGGGCCACCCGAATAGTGGGGTCACCTTTATAGCCAATAGTGATAGAGGGATCCTGGCATGTGCCAGAGAAGAGGAGATTCTCTGGGCGTTGAAGTGACATCACATTTAGAAAGTGGTGACCAACCACTTTTCCTCCTGTGGGCCTCTTGTTGCAGCACCTGTGGCGAGAAAGCAAGCCCGCCCCCTCCCTTGTAGAGCCATAGAAATATTCCGGCTTGCCACGGTAGTCCCTTCGTCCTTTGGTCACCTCACCCACCCCCTCATCCACGAGTGCTCCTCCAAGCCCTTTCCCAATTTATTCCCTTGTTCATTTCAAAAGCTCCAGTGGGGCCACCAGCTTAAAGCCCCTCTAGGACGCAGGTTGGAAGGCAGGCACCGCAGCATTTCACAATGATGTCACATGGCAGGGCTTCCAAGGGTGCCTTCTAGGATGGAGAGATGACATCCTGCTGCCTAGCAAGCAGTGGCTACTTGGGCCTTTTCCTTAGATATGGTGAATGTTCCAGGGTGGAATGGATCACGTGAGGGTTTCTTGCTGCTTTGGGAGGGGGTGTGGGACATTTTTATCTTGGTTTTCTGCAACTTCCATGAAAATGGCTCTCTTCAAAGCCCATTGTTTTCTGTCTTGGTTTCCATCTGTCCTAAGCAAATCATTCCTTTGTTACTTGGCATTTTGAACATCTTGAACATTAAAAGCCCCATGTTCTCTGCACTGTTTGGCCAGCATAATTGCTAGGAATGATTCAAAGCAAAGAGTTTTAACCTGATGGCATAGAATGTATAAATGAGGGTGGGTCCTTTTGCAAATACGCTAATCACTACATTGCTTTAGTTTCTAGAAAACTACCCGTAAGCCTTTAACCTTTAAGAAAACAAAAAAGGTTAGTGTTGGGGGGTGGGGGCTGGCCTCTTCATAAGCCAGTATATCTGAGCTGAGTATGTTTTAATAAACTTGATTTTTCTTGAGGCCCTAGTCTCTGCTGTGTCCCCTCTCCGCCTTCCCAACCTTGCAAAGCTCTTGAGGAAATAAGCCCAGTCTGGCCATTCCTGTGTGGCCTTCCTGTGACTTTTTCTTACAGCTAGTGCATGGCACCAGAATGCCACCCCTCCCTGACCTTTGGGAAGCACCTACCCCTGCCCACAGAATGTGCTTGCTTCTAGAGAATTTGATTCCAATCCTCTGCTCAAGGACCATCAGTGGATGGGCTGAAAACTTGGAGTACTGTGAAGGGTTGGGAGGGAAAGGAGCTACCACCTGGGGTGGGGCTGAGGGTGGTTGCATGCAGACCCAGTATTCTGAAAATAAATCTCTGAACACCTCCATCCAGTCCTGTGAAAAACAACAGCCTTACACATTCTCATGCCAGGAAAGGGTTGCTCACCCCTGCTCTCTAGAGTCCTTTGGAGCTTTCTGATACCATCAGTGACTCATCTGCAAGAGCCCCCCTTGCAGAAGAGAGCACTTCACAGGATCGTTTTCTAAGTTCTTTGTTGTCCACGTACATAAGGTGAGCTCAGCATAAATGGCTACCAGTGGAAAGTAACGTTTCCCAACCATAAAAATGGAACCATCTTTAAGCCATGGAAAACCTCACTTAATGAGACCTTTTTTTTCCTTTTTAAATCTCTGATACGTTATTGTACTTCTAGGTTTTGTTTTATTTTGGCTTTAAGGTCAAGACTGGGCTGAATGCCCTCACGGTAGGGCAGAGGTAGGAGTGAGGGGAGAAGGGAGAAAGCTGTTACTTTTCCAATGACTTCACCTGAAGATACCAAGACATCTTTGCCGAGAGACTGTGCTAGCCAGCTGCCTCCATGGAGCAAGGTTTAAATACAAAATTAACCGGCACCTCTGTTTAAGACCTGTTTATATATAAACAAGATTTGTTTGGGGAAAATGACCTGGAGGGAGAGCATCTGTGATCAAAATCCCTAATTGTAAGCACAAATCTATCCATGTCTGGTTATTAAAATCACTTTGGGACTATAACAGCCACTCTTGTCCCCCCTTTAAATAGAAAATTGTTCTGTCCTGGATTTCTGCACCGGAGATGGAGGCTGGGAGCGACAGAGTCAGCTCTGAGAACTTACAAATGGGAAGTTCTCTGTGGCTCAGGTGTTTCCAGGGTTTGAGATCTGGTTGTTGGATGCTGGGTGTCCAAGCTTTTTTTTTTTTTTTAAGCACAGATGCTGTTAGGGCCCACTGAAAAAGTGTAAACCAGGGTGGTCTTTTTGGTTGGCCAAGGCAGAGTGGAGAGCCTCTGGCTGAACCCCAAGCTGAAAGGGAGCATTGTGGCTTTTATAATCCAATGATGCAATGATTATACCAGCTTACAAGAGTTCTCAGCAGGTGCTTTTTAATCAACTGATAAAGAGCTAAGGCTCATTTTTGATAGATAATATATATTTATTAAATGTATTAATGTGTGTTTTATAATGTACCTTTATCTTCCCCGGGCTGACTGTTGCATACTTATAAAAAAAAATTGTTAAAGAAATTTCAAGACAATCAATGTGTACCATAATGAGTGTATATAAACATTACAAATTTAAAAGGTTGTAAAGCATGGGCAGATAGGTTTTATTTTCAAAAGGCTGTTCTTAACTCAAAAATAAAGGCTTTCCTATTTACTTAAGATGTGTGGTAGCTTTTCAAAATACCCCCAATACAGCATCTAGGCTTTTGGATCTGCTCCGAGGCCGTGTGGAATTTTGAATGGAGAGAATCCTGGTTAACAGCAAGTCACAGAACAAATGAGGGAACTAAGTTAATTTACCATAAAAGCAGGAACTTTCTATAATACTCTGGGGCCTAGACACAAAAAATCCTTTGTTATTCCAGTCTGGGTTTAAATGCTTCATCTTGTTGGGCTCGCAGAAAAAGTTAATGACCTGTCTCCTTTGGAAATGATTATAAAAAATATTGTCTTTTTTATAAAAAAAAAAAGAATAGTCATCAGGTAAACTTAAAACCCAACTCAGAGGTTTGTGACTTAAATTAAAATATGGATCTTTGCAAAGGCAGCCAAAAGTGGGAAACTAGTAATGAACATGTCTACATCTCTTGGGACTAGAGTTCATTGTACATATTAATAGGGATTGGTGAGGAAGGATGCTCTCGAAGCACTGAAAAAATAATCTGGATGGAAGAATAAAAACTGGGGATGATGCAGAAAGTTAAGACTGGTATTTTCTTTTATAAACTGCACTACAGTATGTTTGCGGCAAATCCTATCTTGCATGGAAACGATTCCATTTTCCCATGTACCCAGTCTTGTTAAAGAAATCACAATAGAGGAAGCATAATTGGGACATTTTCTTTGCATGGAGTAATTCATGCTCAGACAGGAAAAGACACCAACAGTGCTTAAGGTGCTGGAATCTTGGCTGCAGGTGCCTCCTCATCCTCCATTTTGCATTTCACTGCAAAGAAATGAGAGAGAAAGGATCAATTTATGTACATAGAGTTATCATTTGGAAACCGGAAATTGTGATGTGTGAACAAGGTCAGTTGCACCGAAACCCACTGGGCGCCTCCTGTGGTCCTGCCCGACGATCCACCAGGAAGAACACAGGGCCATTGTGCTCTAAGGGCAACACCTGAATGTTCAAAACTACTTCCTGGACTGTTCATGGCATTTCTTAATTCAGTTCAAAAAAAGGTCAAAAGTATGAGTTGCGGGTCAGAGTACTGAAAGAAGGAAGTTTGACTGAAGACAGATTGCAGGCATTCAACCCAACCCAATCTGTCAGCATACAACCTTTTTCCCATCCACCCACCCAAAGTGAAAAACTTGGGTATCGTTGGGGTCGATGACAAGGTCAAAAGAGAACTTTTATCCTCTGTCACGGTCTGGACAAGAATGTGATCCCAGTGATTCCCTGAGTCTGCCAAACAATAAACTTAGCTGGACACAGAGCATGACACTGTAAGGGAACTTTAATCCAAACAGATAAAGGTCCCTTTAAATATGGAAACCCAGTCCCCTGGGGGAGGGATCCTTTTGGAAAGACCCTCTCTTTTGTAATACATCTTTGCCTCTAGTGTCCAAGTGCCAGAAAGGTTATTGAGCAAGGTCGCAGGCCCTGGTTGTGGAGAGCATTGTTCAAGTGGACAGGGAGTTGGGAGTTGTTATCCTGTGGGCAGAGGTTTCAGTTGAATCTGCCTCCTGGTCCTGACCTAGCGGCCTACACTTGCCAGATGTCAGCACAGGTGAGGTATGGACACCGTCACATGGAATGCAGTTATTTCCTGATGGAAGTGGGGTGATGTCTTCAGCAGCACAGACCAGCTAAGCATCTTCGAACTGAGGGTACACTTGCCAAGGGCTCTCAGTCATGGTTCATTCAAAGGAAATCAACTTCCAGATCTTCAGCAGCCATGCAAGGCCATGCAGTTGCAGGTTTATATGGGTCCTCCTTTCCTATCTGTCTCTGTCTTGGCCAGGGTGTAAAACTCCCAAGTGCCAAACAAAAAGGCAGTTTGGAATGGTGAGGGTTCCCAGAGTCTCCTTTATTTTCTATGTTTAATAACTATCAAAATGTATAATGCATTATTTGGTTTTGCGTGCTACTAATAATTGTATTACTAACTGAAATCAGAAAAAATATTATTAATACTTAGAGCCTGCAGTCACAGGAATTTTCTTTTAATTTTTTTCACTGTATATACCTTTTCTGTTCCTTATGTATATGGAAGCTCTACAGGCAACCACAACGAAGACCCTGTGCGCACCTAGACCTTACTAATGATGACTTTGATTCCTTCATAGCCAAGGATGCTCCACACCTTGCTAAGTGCTCTCCCAGTATCGCACTGATCCATAATATGCTGGGAAATGTTTAACAATCGACTGGGGCTGGGGGGAAGTCCTGACTTGTAGCATTTGCCATTTCCATAGCCTCTTTCAAGCTACCTACATAACACAGCTGGGAAGAGGTGCACACAGCCGGGTTGCTCTGGATCCTCATGGGGAGCTACGCAGGTAAAAATCATGCAGGTGAAACTTCAGACCTGCGAGATGGTTCTCCAAGTGTGGGTGGAGGACAAAATGCAAATTCAGGGCCCCATTCCAGATTTACAGAATCAGGAACTGGGGGGGAGCCCAGCAATCTGCATTTTAACAAGCCCTCTGGGTGATTCTGATGAACACTAGTTAAAGTTTGAGACCCCCGGACTACTGGTTTGCTACCCCGGCTACAGATAAGAATCACGTGGTCAGCTTCTGAAATCACTGGTGCCTGGGTCTCAACCCAGAAATTCTGATGAAATTGGCCTGGAGCCTAGGCAGCAATATTTATTCAAAGCTCCTGTGTGTTGCTGAAGTTCAGCCGGGATTGAGAATCAGGCCATGTTGGAATTCCTTCAAAGAAACGTGACTGTAAGACCCTCCAAGGAGGCTTCTAAGCATCATGCTGGCTGCCTAGGAGTCTCAAAACTTAAGGTGTTTGAAGTTCTCTGGCCTACAACTTGGCAGACAGATGCTGGAGGCTATTAGTAGCAGGGAAGGATTTGCTTCTAGGAGGAATTTCCTTGGGTTTTCTTTAGTTTTCCTCAGCTCTGCCTGAAGGAAGAATTCACCTGCACACCTCTGTCCCAGTATTTTAACCAATTCCTGTCCATGCCTGATAACCTCTCTTACCCATCCCCTACACTCTGACCTTACCTGGGGAAAGGCCCCTATTATCTCTTTCAGATCATCACACAGAAATCTTGAGGGAGGAAAGTGGAAAGGAATGAACTAGGACTCCTTCAGAGTGGAGAGCCGAGAGAGTGGAGTTGCTGGGCTGGAAATAAAGGTGGGATGTGGAGCCTCACACTGGGATCACCTGGGGAGCTTTGACCAATCCCAAAACCCAGGCCCACCCTACACCATAATGTCAGAATATCCAGAGGTGCACCCACACTGGAAAACTTTGGCGTTATCAAGTAAAACTAAGTCGGACAATGGGCCCAGGTGATTCCCCTCCCATATCCCCTGCAAAAAGTCTTGAACACATGTACTGGGAGACAAGAATTAGGATGCTCATGAGAGTAGAAAACTGGAGACAACCCAAATGTCCATCAACAGCTGACTGGTAAACAAACTGCGGTCAATTAGAACAATGATTATACAGCAGTGAACACACATGAGCCACAGCTACACGCCTCAGATTGGACTGGCTTAACAACTTTAAAGGAAAGATGCAGGCACGGAATAATACATATAGCAAATCTAAATGTTGAGGGATACGTACAAAGATGAAAAGAACTCTAAAGAAAAGCAAGAGAACAATTATTACAAAAGTCAGAGTAAGTGGCTTCACTGGGGGGAGGCTTTTTTTAAAGTGTTGACAGTATTGTTTCTTGGGTGGTGGCTACATGGGTGTTTGCTTTATAGTTATATGTGTTTTACAGTCACTATTGTATGTTCCATTATATTTCACCCCCCCCCCAAAAAGGTCAAAACAAATAAAGATGCCAGTATATTACTTGAAACTACAAAGTCAATGGAAAAGAGCAATTTAGCTGTTTGGGGGAGGGCAAGGATGGGATGGAAGTGAGCTAATTCCTCTCTTCATGGCAGGAGATTGCTAGATGACACCTAAAATCTTCTCTATGGTACAAGTGTGCTGGAGATACAGAGTAGCCACCCAGAAACAGCTAAGGAGCGCCACAAGAGCTGAGGACCCTCCTGGTGGCATTCCGTTTTATCCTGTACATCTTCTGAACCATGAGAAACATGTGCAAGGTCGACTTTGCTACAAGTTGAGAAATACATAAAATCTCTCTTGGCGGTCTTCCTCCCCCTGGTCTGGGCAGAACACAGCCTGCTCAGGTGGGGGTTCAACAGAAGATGGGAGAAGCCAGCAGGGTGCTCAAAGAACTCGCTTTCCACCTTGGTTTAGAGACACCATCGTGGTCGGCTTCCAATACCGACAGACAGATAGATGCCTTAGTGCCCCTGTGCCTTCCTTGTCCCCCTTGGCAGGCTGGTACCCAGCCAGTTCCGGAAGGGCTGGGAGAGTGGAAAATTCCGGAGAGATGCACCAGCCCGTCAGCTTCAATTAAAGGCGATGTGACAGAAGGGCCTTGCATGCTAATGAGACTCTGTATGTCTCCTCCTCTTGGTCGCCCTCCTCTCCTGGGCTGAGCACTCCAGTCATAGCCCAGAAAAAACCTCCCAGCCAGCAGCACAAGACAGATCAGATGCCTAAAGCTCAAGGTGAGGTATTATGGGGACCACAGGATCATCCAGCCACTCGTACAGTGTTGCCCAGACAAGGCCTCAGCATACAGGCTCACTTGGGGCAAAAATACAGATTCCTGGGCCCTGCCCCAGACTGATAAAATCTCCAGAAGTGAGGAGTGAGGCTGGGACTCAATATCCACCCCTCCACCTCAGTGCTTTGGGTGGTCCTTTTGATCTGGCAAGTTTGAGAAAGAGTGCTGTACTATTCAGTGGCTGTTACCTGAGGGCCAGGTTTGAGACAGATACCTGCGTCGTAAGGGCACTGGGAGGAGCAAAGGAGCCAGACAAGCAAAGTGCTTAGTGCTGAGTCTGATCCATAACTAAAGGCTCGATAAGGATTCACTATTATTATCCTTAGGGCATAGTCTTTGCCCTCAAGGAGCTCACAGCCTAGAGGGGGAGGCAGAAGAATAAAGAGAGCTATAAGAACCAAGAGATGCTCACACCCCACAGAGAGAAGTTGCTCCAGGAAGTGTTCAATCCACACATAGCTATGGACCATAACAGTGCTCAGGTCTGGGGGTGCAAAGAGGAGACTGCTTCACACTCTCAATATATATAGTCAGCAATATATATAAGAAACCTTCAATTGTGCATGTTTCACCCAAGCAGCACCTGATTTCTAGGATTCCAGGTAAATGATAAAAACGAGCACTTCTATGGTAATTACTGAGCCCCTGACATATATTAAGTCAGAGTGGGGTAAGTGCTATTATTTTGTCCAGTTTTACAGATAGGGAGACTGAGGCACAGACAGGTTATGGAACATGCCTGAGGTTACACCATGGCCTGTCTGGCTCCTGCATTCACGCTCTTAACCTCTATAGGGTCAAGATCTCACAACTGCCTCCTACAACAGGGTGGCAAAGATTTCTGTACTCAAGATGCGACATCAAAGTATGCAGACAAAAGTGTTCACTGCTGTGTCATCTATCATCTACCACATAAACAGTTTGAGAACAACCTAAATACACAACAATCAGGGAATGATTAGGTATCTGATCATTTATAACCTTGATGAAATATGATGAAGCCATTAAAAACATGGGGTTTTTGCAAAGTTTGAAGAACAGGGAGAAATGTCAAGGAGAAAATACAAAGGGATACATTTCCTGTAAATTTTGATGATGCACATTTGAAATTGCTTGATACCAAGTTAGCAATGTCTCCAAGAGGGACAAGGATGGCACG